CCAGGTACAATTACTCTTTCCCCATCACCCATCCTTCTTTCTTTTATTATGCACCAGTTAATAAATGTATAAAGTTTGGGTAATTCCGTCTTTTTATTTGAGCGCATCATTGGCATGGAATACAAGATTTTTTTGGAGTGCATAGACATGTTCTTACAAGTTTATGTACAAGTACTTTATCCGTATCTTCTCTCTTCTCTTTTGTTTAGCTGTCCATTTTAGATACATAATTACTGCATGTTATTTTATGTGGACTATAGTTAGGTGCTATTGTTTGATTTTGGGCTATGAAAGGGGAGGCTTTTATGTGAAATAATTTGATGTCCAGGGAAATATAATTAATTGATTACCATGTGCCAATAATTGGACTTATATTGTTCGTTTCTGATGAATAATTGTAGTGATGTTGAAACTTGAAATAAGTCAAATAAACATGCCACGAGTAGATTTGTTTGTATAGAACATAGAAGTATTCATTATTCAAAAAATAGTACTTCTTTTTTAGGTAAGGCAAAATAATACATTTTTATTATTTTTCCAATCACTCATTTGCTCTTTTGGGTTATGGAACAGATCCTGATTACACGAGCTTGAATTATAATTTTGGGAATCCTTTTTCACCGTTTTTATCTTTTCACAATTTTAACAAGTTTAGAAGAAAAATCTTTATCTGACGAGACCTGCAGAAAATGGGGATCCCTGGATTAGTTTAAGACTCCTACTATGTTGGTAGGCTCTTTCTCAAATTAAAATTTGTAATTTAAATATTTAATCTCTCAATTATACTTGTGTTTTTTCTTTCCATGTTCCAATAAACGCACATATTTGTGTGCTTAAAAGTGAGAGTGCCTCCTTAATAAAAACTTTTCTTACATGTGAGGTTCTTAATTTCCACGAAATTCCGCTTTCCAAATTTGCTTTTCCTTTTCATGGCCGACATCTCACCCCTGAATCGCGTAATAAGATAGAAACAGATGAACGGTGTAGATCTTTTGTTCTTCTACACATTTTTTTAAATGTGATCTTCTAGGTTTTTTATTAGGGGAAGACTGTCTACTCCTTTTGAGGATATAGCTAATGACATTAATATAATAACATGCATGCATATATGTTATGTGGTTTTGTGCAGCCAAAAAGTGTTGGGAGCACGTAAAGATGGGGCACAACTTCCTCTGGTAAATAAAACTATGATGTACTTATCAAGGCTACAAGCAAGTGGTTCTTCAACATCAGGTCTGAGTATAGCTTTTATTGCCTCTATTTTGGTGCCTTTCTTCATGTTCTGCCCTCTTTAGCATCCTATATCATATGGATTACGTTTTCAGGTAGATAATAGATAGTTACTCCAAAAATAGCTGCTTCTATCAATTCGATGCTGTGCTGATTCTACTCATCATGCAGGACTTGAAGAATAATATCATATAGGAAACACTGTAAATCCTTTTTCTTTTTTGTTTATGTAGTCTCTTTTTTCACACATTAATACGTCAACATTGCAATAGTTGATCTCTGGCCATCCTTCAGTTCTTATTTCATTAACAGAGGCATTACCAATTTGCCAAGTATTCTGGAGTCAAGATTTTGCTAGCTACGACAGACATACTGTAATAAGTGCAATAGTGTGTACATGAAATAGGTTAATGGAGTGATACTTGGTGCACAATTTTTGGTTTTGATATGCTCACATGTATGCGTGGTATCATCTTATATTCAAGAAAATCTTAAACTCGGGCTTTGGACATAACTTAAGCAACTAAAATGATGAGATTTTATTGAAAAAATATATATTTATTACATCGATCAGAAAATAAAAATATAAACAACATTTTTGTTTTCAAGAAACTCGTCTCATTTTATACGCGTAGAAACAGTTTTAAGAACTGACTATACCGCAGTAAAAAAAACTGATTATATCCATGGGACTAATGTAGAGGAGTATTAGATACGTTTTAGTTTTACATGAAGTTTTAGTCTCTTGGTTTTAATTGTTCATAGTTGGCACTCAATAGTTATTCAATTGTTTGAGACCCTGACTTCAAATTCTCGTTTAGTAATTAACAAAAATGTAATAGAGATGTGATAAATTATTAATTTATGTTGATTCAAAAAACAAAAATTAACTTGTTACATTTTATACATGGTATTTTTTAAAAATATTTTATACATTTTTCGGGTCATGCAGCAAAGACCCACCTCGCCAATGCTCAAAAGTCAAAACTCTGCACTGTGGCAATAGCTCAATACAAAAGCTCAATAGCATTTGGAAGTTACATGAGAGAAAGCAAATTGAAAATAAATATTTAATATTTTCAAACTCCTTTTTAAAAAATAATTAGAAATTCATTTCCAAACATTAAATTTACCTTTGGACGTCTCTCATTGTAAATATATTAGTACCTAAAATGCTAGTTTAAGCTATTTCATTAATAAGAATTATAGAAGTAGTGGGGGCAGCAAGGAATCAAATTTGTTTCTCCTTTTTCAGCCTCTATTTATGCCCTTCCAATTAAATAATGACCACGTTATTAAAAACAAAGTAACAATGAAAAGAGAATATTGTCATTTAAAAAAAGGCCTTGGTATATTGATTTGTCAGCATTGCCCTGGTAGTCATTCTTCAATGCAGGCAAATGTCTTGGGTGATACATTTTTTTTACTTGTTAAATTAGGAATTGAATTTTTCTCTCTTTTTTTTTTTTTTAAAAAAAATCACTGTAGAAACTAAAACAGATTGATTCCGAAAGTGCTTAAAAAAAATTCAGCTGAAGAGAATACTCAAGACCAGGAGGCGGTCAACTCCAAGAGCCCGTTTCCCATATCCCAAATATTAGCTTAAAAATAAAGCACACTTCTTCATATATAGCTATTGTTGTTCTTCAATTACAAGTGAAGTTTTACTTCATTTTGCATTTAAATTTACTGTAGATCTCGACGATATACATTTATATATAATCATATATTTATCTAAATAAAACTTAAATTTTAATTAGGGAACACTAATTATTTTTAAACAACTATACATAAGTTTTCTCTTAAAAATAAGGACAAAAGTTTGTCAAGTTTAATAAGAATGAGACTTTTTGTGACTTGTATAGTTCAAAGTAGAGTTTGAGTTACTTTATAATGGTATAATGGATGAATAAAGATTAACTCATGATTTATTAAAAGGGTATTTAAAATACTTAAAAAAGTTAGTTATCTACTAACTATAACTAACTTTGATAGATATAAATTATAACTAATGTTTGATTTGGTGTTATAATCAAAAGAACTTGAATAAATGACATGAAAACTTGAAATTATATAATACTACACAGATTAGCTTTTATAGGAAAGTGAAAATTGGATGTAAATTTTGTTTGACTTGATGGGAATCCAAACAGGCTAAATATTATTGTCTGCACATCACACACTATAGAAAATAATGTTATATCTAATTAAATAATTTAAAGATAACATATTTTATTTTTTTTAATGATTACAACATTATTGTTTGTGGATCACAAGCCGTTGGAAAATAGTATAATAAAAATAAAATAAGCAAACAAACTCATTCCATCCAATTTTAATAATTTAATAGTCTAACGAACTAAAAAAAAAAACTAACATACTTTTATGTGATTGGATGAAATTTTTTTTCATAAGTATATATTCAGTATAATTTCCATATCTGTGTGTGTGAAAAATATATGTTGAGAAATATTAATTCTTTAAATAAATTCAGTATTTTAAAATTTTTAATTTTTAACTTTCAACTAAGTAAAAAGAAGGAAAAAGTAATTAGTTATTTATCCATTACATTTACTTATATTTTCTAAAATGAATAAATTGGATTGAAGTATGAATGCATATTTAAAATTATAAATATATGAATTACTTTGCCAGCTCTTTCCAATATCAAAAAGCATTTGAAGTTTCCATAAATCACGAAATCTTAATAACTTCTTTAACATTTAAAACTGTGCCTCCATCAACAAGTGTGCAATTTACATACTTCCATATTTCTTGAGAAGATGTTGGAATGTATTAAGTACTAACAGACAACGGATATCGTCCATCCGACACAAATATTCTTTGTAAAGAAAGTAACTTTGCATAAGTTAAAATTGAGAGCAAAGTGGGGACTCTTTTTAAATCTTGAACGTCAAAACTAATAACCATCTCCTAACTTTTTTATTTATTTATAATTATTCTGCTTATTTTCTTTTTGGTCAAATGGACCATAAATTCATTATGCTTTGTCTGGGAAAGGATGCTTATATGGTCCTTAAAATTAAGGTTAAAACCTTTATTTGGTCTCTGATAATATTTTTTTGTCTCAATTTAGTTTTATTTTAATTTTTTGTTTTAATTTGGTCTCTAATAATTTAAATTATTGTAATTTGAAACTTCTATCCAAATGATTTAAACGGAGTTAACTGTTGGCCACGTAGATGCCTGGTGGATGCCATGTAGATTCCACGTAGATGATGCCAAATTTCTTGAATAAACCTGGAACCAGAACGGCCCGTTCTGAAACTAGAACGGCCTGTTCTGGTTGCACTGTTAGTGTGTTAATTTTGTACCTGGAACGGGCTGTTCCAGATGTAAAATTAACACACCAATAGTGTAACAAGAATGGGTCATTCTGGTTTCAGAACGGCCCATTCTGGTACATTCATGGTGTGTTCAATTTGCATTTGGAACGGTCCGTTCCAGTTGCAAAATTAACACATAACATGTACAAGCAGAACGGGCCGTTCTGGTTTCAGAACGGGCCATTATGGTTTCAAAACGGGTCGTTCTGGTTCCATGTGTATTCATGAAATTTGGCAGCCACGTATGCATCTACATGGCATCCACCTGACATCCACATGGTCAACAATTAACTTCGTTTAAATCATTTGGACAGAAGTCTCAAATTGCAATAATTTAAATTATTGGGGACCAAATTAAAACTAAAAATTAAAGTGAGACTAAATTGAAACAAAAAAATATTATAAGGGACCAAATAAAAGTTTTAACCTAAAACTAACGTGTTAAATTCTTTTTGACTACGTTGCAAGAAAATTCAAGTTTCTGTTACTTCAGAGAAAAAATTCACAAATCTAAATCACAACTTGTGTGACTTTGCTTTTTTAAGGGGAGGTAGAAGAATGAACAAAAAGTTGCGGAGATTCATTTCTCATCTTGCATTTAACTAGAAAAAAAAAACTAATCTTTCAAGTTAAATAATACATTTTCAAACAACATTAAAAATTACAAATGATACAATACATGTCTCAAAAGTCTCAAACAACGCTAATAAAAAAAAATACAACAATATACTAATCTACACTAACAATTATTTGAGGTGCATAATCTAAATAAATAAATAAAACTCAAAAAGTTAGATTGTAAACATCATGCGCATAAGATAAGTTAGTAAAGATAACATCAACCGATATGTCTTATATTTAATAGACTCATTAGATTTTATTAAATAATTAATATTCATTATTATTAATAATAAGTTAAATTGGACTTGATTGACCATATTATAATTTCATTGGTTCAGTACTCAACCTAATTATAGTTGAATTAATAAAAATATCAAACTAAACTCAGTCAAATCGGTTAAAATGAAAATAGGTTGATTTAGCTTGTACATCGATATGGATCAACTTAAACTCTTAAATAAAACAGTGTTTTTTTTTGTCGGTAATAAAATACTATATTTTGGTTTCTTTGTTTTACACATTTAAGACACACTTATCAATAAATAAATAAATAAAATTGTTATAGGAATTTTCTATTACAAAGAAGGGCTTTGGGGTTGGGCAACAGTGATGGAAACTGGAGAGGAAGGAGGAGTTTAGCAGAGTATTTTATTTACATTTTTGGGGTTTGAAAGTCAACATTTTCAGGAATTGAGGTTACAGTGCCAATGGCGTCCCTCTGTGTGCATAAAAAGAAGAGAGAGGATAGTGGAATCCAATGCTTTTCACATTATTGTGCCACTGCTACACTGCTAGGTGCCATCCATCAACACTAACGGTCAATCATCTAATCTACCTGCTTCCAAACACGGTCTTACCTTTCTGGAATCTCTCCTTAATTCATTTATCTTTAATTGCGTGTTTAGGTTCCAATTCTAACGTGAATTTTCAAGTTTAGTTGAATGAAAAAGAAAAGAACTGAAGTAAAGTAATTAAAGAATATAGCGTCCGCGAAAAGAAATAATATGGTATTTTTTATATTAAATGTTGATGGACATGTCTGTAAAAATATTAAACATACATTTTATTAAAGAAAAAATGTGGAAATCCAAAAGTGAAGTTTAGATATGCAAGGGAGTTGTTAAATGAGCGTGATTAGAGATGAAATAATGGTGATGAACATAGACTTTCCAAAAGGGTGTTGGATGTTGGATGTTGGTATGATATAAATATAATTCAATATTAAACCCTCAGTGACTCATTGTCCTTGTATAGTAGAATCGCGCATTTACCCTTCGTCTCCTAAACAGAACACAAGACTCATAAGCCAATCCAAACACTTACCTTTCTACTGACTGAGGTGGCGCCAACCCTGCATTCTGCTACGGTGCTACCAAACACAAGTCCAACCTATGGATCCCTTATCTTTCACTCTCATTGCTCTCCTACTCCTCACTCCCGCAGGTAAAACAAAACACACTTCCTTTCTACCACAAACCATGTTTTTGTTTCCTTAGTTACACTTGTTCTTTCTTCTTTGTTCAGGTGTGAAAGCTGCCACCTTTACATTCGTAAACAAATGCGACTACACAGTGTGGCCAGGCATTCTCGCAAATGCCGGTAGCCCACCGCTCCAAACCACAGGCTTCGAGCTCGCAAAGGACACTTCACGCGCCTTCCAAGCCCCCACCGGCTGGTCCGGTCGCTTCTGGGGCCGAACCGGTTGCAGCTTCGACGGATCCGCCTCCGGTTCCTGCCTTACAGGCGACTGCGGCTCCGGCCAGGTGGAATGCAACGGCGCGGGAGCCGCTCCTCCGGCGACCCTGGCGGAGTTCACGCTGGGCACCGGCGGGCAGGACTTCTACGACGTGAGCCTGGTGGACGGGTACAATCTTCCGATGATCGTGGAGGGCAGCGGCGGGTCGGGTCTCTGCGCCTCGACGGGGTGCACGTCGGATCTGAACCAGCAGTGCCCGGCGGAGCTGAGAGCCTCGGAGGGAAGCGCGTGCAAGAGCGCGTGCGAGGCTTTTGGAAGCCCGGAGTACTGCTGCAGCGGCGCGTACGGGTCTCCGGGCACTTGCAGACCGTCCATTTACTCTGAAATGTTCAAGGCTGCTTGCCCTAGGTCCTATAGCTACGCATACGATGACGCTACCAGTACCTTTACGTGTACCGGTGCTGATTATACCATTACCTTCTGTCCATCATCTCCAAGGTCACTTTTCATATTTCTTCTTTTCTTTCTTTTCCCTCTTCATTTTATTTCCCTACGGTTACCTTTTTCTTACTCATTCAATGCTTTCATTTCTCTTTTGTTCTATCTTTCCAACTCTGCCTCCATTTAATTACTTTACTCAAACTCACTCTAGTTTTTCAAATTTTTATGTGCTTATTTTATTGAGTGAGAGTTTTGATAGAACAATTCTAAATCCTTCCATGATATTCTTGTTCTTCTTTTGTAAGGTAAATGTCAAATGTATTTTATACTGTATATAATATATATATATATATATTAAAGATATTAAATACATTGGTGTTTTTTATTGAATACTTTCCTTTACAAAGTGCTTTAGTGGTGAGATTTTACTCTTTCCGGCATGTGTGCGGTAGGTGGGTGTTCCATATGGGCAAAGGAGAACTTTTGAATGCTCATGTTAGTAAGTGAGTCTTGTTGATGGTTGGTGCTTGGTGCTATTGCTATACGATACGTGTATGTGTTGCATTAACTCCGTAAATATCACTGGAGTAGTAAATGCTTATAATTTTGTATATGCATGATTTGATTTTGCAGTCAGAAATCTTCACGAGATATGAGCAGCCCAATGACCTCAACAACAACACCACAAGGTTCTGCAGGGACAGTGACAGGAACAGGAACAGGAACGGGATCCGAAGGAGCAGTGGTATACACGGGTTCTGATTCGGGAGTTGTGTATAATTCAGTTACGGATTCGGGATCAAGTTCAGGATCCGGAGGAGAAACAATGCTTGCAGATGGGTCTTATTTAGCTGGTTTAGCCATGGGAGACTCCCCTACAAGAATACTTTCTACGGCGTTTCTCTACTCTACTACCTTTTTGCTTATTCTAGTTCTCTCCTTGTTTTAGCTGCACCAGCATTCATGTGTTGTGCCTTTTGTTTGTAAATGGGTCTTAGATTTTCATGGTGGCTTCAAGAATTTTGGCTTTGCCACGAAAGCTGGCAGATTCTCCCTGATTGTAAACCACCACCCCCAAGATTCGCCAAAAAAAAATATTCCGTGTTTCATTCGTTAAAGTCTATGTTTTTATATTATTAATCTTGGGAGCATTTATCTCCCCATCCAAGCTTTTTCAGGTACTATGGTTTAAAAAGCGAACACATTCCTCCAATTTTTGGCTGCCTTTGTTTGGTTTCACATGTATGCCAATAATACAAATACATGTGCTGTGGGGGCTATGCCTTTGATTTTAGTTTCTCACCGACGACACATCTTTTAGCATAATGTGAACTATATATCTGTCAAGGGTCTCATCTTCCGTCTCAATTAGGGTTCACTTTGCGGCTAAATCAAGTAATTTGATTGGCATTTTGTCTTGTATTTTTCCCAGCTACGGGTGAAGGAATTCTGAGATGAACTTTGTGAGTTTTAACTCGTTGCTAAAGAGAAAATAGAATATTGAATGAGGCCTGAGGACAGAGATAGAATACAGGCATATAGCTGAACACCAACTTTAATTATTAGCTTCAGTGTAATGAGCCTAAATGCCCCTTTGCAAATCTGTTAGTCATCAAGAACGAGAATATTAATCAATAAGAAGATCGTATCTCATGGAAAGTGTTTTAATTCCAATGCTTTAAATTGGTATTTTAACTAAACTTGGTGAACCTTTTCTTCAGCATTTTTCAAAAAGAATGATCATATTGTCAAAATGCTGCCGTTTAGGGGACCTACCACAAAGGTGATTTCAAATATATAGTCACTTGAAGACTAATTTAAGATCATGTAAACTGGGAACTTAGGGCTATATTTGTCCTTTACTCTAGCAACTCATTTTCATGTGGACTGCCTAGTTTTTTTTTACTTTTCTTGTTGCGAAATTTTTTGGTTACTAGTTGTTGAGTTACAAGGAAATTGAAACTCGCAATATTCGATAATTCTATTTACTTTAAACTAATTTTATTACACCTTTCACAATCTCGTTGAAATTATGGATGGGTAAGAGAAAGGTAGATATGCAAAGTATGTGGGCCCTTGGTTTGCTATTGTTAATCAGCATCTGGAACAGAAATAATAATAACTACGCATCTAATCTGTCCAACCTAATCTTCCTGCAAATTGCTTATTAGTAAGAAATGTTCTGGTAGAAAAGTACGAAAATTGTAAAACCAGGCCTCTAATTTCTGTTAAAATTCTCATTACCCCATATTAATTGCAATCAGCACGGGAAGGAATGTAAGAAAAAAACGAGTTATATTATTGAATGAAAAAAAAAATTACAAACTATATATTCAATCGCTCACTCTTTTAATGCGGTGTTGAATCTTTCTTCATAGCATGCAAACTGATAAAAATGGATATAGATAGATGTTTAGTTTTGAACATACGTGCTTATATTATAAATAAACATAAATTAACTTATATTTTTAATTTTTTTAAAATTAGTGAATTATTTTACATCAAAATATCTTTATAAAAACTGGTCTTAAGTCAGGCTACTATGGAGTTGTAAATTGTTTATCTTCTGCATTTCCATTCAGCAAAATTGTTGGATCTCCGGTTCTCTTGCCTTAAAAGTTTAAAAGTTATTTCTTAAAAGTTTGACACCCGTCCAAACTTATCATTTAATGATTGTCAAATTTTTAGACTATAGACTATATATTATACACAAGTATTAGTTATGCATAAAATGAATTTTTAATATACCAGGAGGAGTGAATGTAATATGTCCAAGTTATTGATAAAGCTAAAAGGCGAAGCTACCTTTTAATGGAAATATAGAAATTAGGAACTCAATTAAGAGCAAGTTCATTTCTGAAAAATGACCAGCATGTCATGAATGTATTATGCTTGGTAAAATTAAAAAATAATACATAAAGGCACAGAAATCCGTTGTAGTCTAGTTGGTTAGGATATTCGGCTCTCACCCGAAAGACCCGGGTTCAAGTCCCGGCAACGGAATCATGTTTTTTACAAAACCACAAGCTACTAGATGGTGCGCTTGAGGGTTTGAAGTTTATTTAACTTTTTTTATATGATTTTTATAAGTTATTTTCAATTAGACAAATAATAAATTAAATTTACACAATGTAGAATATAATAACTAATTAAATGATGATTATCTTTTTAAATGATATTTACATATTTGGAAGGAATGAAGTTACAAAATACATATATATAAAAAACTAAATTATAGTTAATTAGTCATAATTGCCATTCCACCAATGTCAAAAATTTATAATTTAATATAACTTAAACGTGTATGATACATATAAAATTACATACTATCATTATCAGATTTAAATTCATGTTTTTTTTGTTCTGACAGCATTTGAGTTGTTGCTTAGGGTAGGATAATGAGATTTCTAAGAGTAGAAATTGAAATTTAGCATTAGAATAACATGCAGTATGATTTAATTTAGTTTGATTTTCACAATGAGGCCCAAAATTTGAACCAAGTTGCAATAAAGAATAAAGAACGTGATTTTTCAATTTAAATAATTTTCGAATTTTTTTAGATCAATTTAAAGGCTTGAAACAGTTTGATTCGATTTTAAAAAGTCCTAATAACTGCCCCCTCTTCGACGAAATGGATTAATTTATTACTATCTTAGATAAAGGTCATTATTATTATTATTTTCACAACAATACATATCGTTATTTCAAGAGTTTAATTTTTTTTATCTTGATTAATATCAATTTTATACTGTTAACTGTAGAAACTACAATAGTTATGAATTTTAAAATAATTATTATAAAATTTAAATTTTTTACGATATATAATAAACTATAATAAGGTGAAAATAAAAAATTACACTATATTAACTTTAATCAAATTCTCACTTTAATCTTTTACAAAAGAAACTCTTACTTTAACCCTTTTAAAAAAAAAGTTTAAATATATTTTTAATCCCTATAAAATTAATAAATTTTAATTTTAGTTCTTGTAAAAAAATTATTTTATTTTTTATTTTTATAAAACTAAAATTATTATTTTTAGTCTATTTTTATGTAATCATTTTTTTAACTATTTTTATTTATTAAAAAGTTAAGTAACCATCTTAAATATTATCTATAATTATTATTATATTTAACGTCTCTAAAAAAATTATAAATTTTTTAAAATAAATATTATTTATCCACTTTAAAATTATCAATAAAAATATAAAATAATTAGTTTAAATTTACAAAAATATAAAATAAAAAGAAATATTTTACAAGAATTAAAATCAAAATTTATTTATTTTATAAAAATTATTAACAATTTTTTAGAAAGATGAAAAGAAAATTAAAGAAACCAAAATCAAGATTATTAATTTTATAAAGACTAAAAACATATTTTAACCTTTAAATAATTAGTCATTACGCACGACAATCACAGCCCTTACCAAAATTGGTTATTTTCCCGTAAGGCAAACTGCAGTTTGGAAACTAGAAACCAACTCTAGACTGGTCTTCACCCTGCAAATGCCATTTGATCTGGATACTCTTTCTTTTAGTATGTTTATGCCCTTACAGCATCAAATATTGCACCTGCTGTCTCCTTCATTCAACATATTGCTAATACAATACAACTTATAACACATGGTACAATGCCAAAGATTGCAACCTTAACATGGCCACTTTCGCAGTTTGGTCTTTAGACACCAATGACTATCGCTAATAACCAATTAACACTGACTTGAAGAATACGAGAAAACACCGGATAACAAACTTACAAAGAGCATAATATTTTTGATCTACCAAAAAACCCTCACGAAACTAAACATACGTCTCTCCATATGAAACAAAAAGAATTCTCACTAATAATTCCAAACACATCATAGTAAAATAATAGTACACACAGGCCAAAAGGGAATTAAAATAAATGGCCTGTCTTTATTGAAAAAATGAGTTAACTATCTGATAGGATGATTTCCTTGCTGACAGATATTGGGATATCATTTGAGCATAAATTTCATCAATCCCAGGAATGCTATACCATTCAGAATCACTGGCTATTTGATGATGCCAAGGATTTCTTGGGTTTCTTGCTCATGGAAATCTTCTTGTAAATATTCTTGGTTCTGAATGCCAATAGAATGTCTAAGAAGAACCCAACAATACATGCTCCAGTCATGACTATGAAGACTAGCCTATAACAATGTCCTCCAACACAGGTGTTGCCTCCTGCCTCATTTGTAGTTGCTTCCATATCATACAGTATGCCAGCAAGCAGCCCAGAGAAAAGGAAAGAGCCCAGGGGAAGGTTAAGGATGAGAATATTGTAGATGAGACCATAATATTTAAGTCCAAATAACTCTGAGGCTGTTGGCACTGTAATGGCAAGCCTAACTCCATAACATATGCCAACTAAAATAGACCCAATGTATAGGGAACCTGGCATAGCCATGGCCAGGAGTATGTATCCTACAGCCATTAGAAGTTGAGATGCTGCATTCCAAAGAGGTCTAGGTGTTGCAGCATTCCTGTAAAGGAAATTTCGAATTAAAAATGAACATAAACAGTTCAAAGTCCAAACTTTATGAACCAACAATAATACAAGTTAAAAAGATCAATCTCGTCTTGCTATACAAAGTCTAACAGGACAGAGAATCTAACACTGATGTAATATATTTCCATATAATCAACATTTAAAACTATTACCCTGGCTCAGTAAAATACAGCGCAGAGGATATATAATAAGGATTTGGTATTGCAAATGTTGGCCTTTTAAAATAGACAATTAAACTTACAAGGACACACTCCAAACAGTGACAAATTGAATCATTCTGTAACCGACAAATCATGCTCGAAATAAAGTCGAACAAATTAATGCCTAACTTTCTTCTGCTTCTCGACAAAAGTTACGCTGAAGTACTAGATTATTAATATTCAAATCTATCATTAAAGCTTTTAACGGGCGAATAAAGAATTTACACTTAACGTCACGTCAATATATACAACAATAATTCTTGTATTATCAGTTTTTTTTCCTTCAACGAATATTTTCGGTTCACATAATCAAAGATTGATTTCGCTTGTAGTAACCGTAACTTGAACAAAAGTTTCTAGACATGGTGGAAATTATATATAAGAATTTTGTTGAATAGATCGTCTCGACATGGATATGTTATCTCTTATTCATGAGCCCATGTATAAACAAGCAATTCATCAATTCATGAATTGTTGAATTTGGAAACAGCTCATTTAAATAATTAAATCTAAATTCAAATTTGAGTTTATTTATTTAATTAAATAAATAGCCTTTGATAAATAATTAATAGGTTCAAATAATTCATAAATAGTTAGACAAATTTATACCTATGATAATACTATTAAAAAAGTAGAGACAACTATTTATTATTTAATTTTTACCATAAACAGGGTCAATCCGTCCTATTTTGAGACCTAAAACGAGTTTTGAAGTTGAATTTTTTTAAAGATGAGAATGTAGTAAGAAAATCAACAGTCACCCATAAAAATAAAAAATAAAAACTTTCAACAAAAAATTACAATACTAAGATCAAACCTCAATCCTTATAATACTAGACTTAGACAATGACCAACAAACTAAAATTAATATTGATACAACTAATTCATTAAGCTCTATATAAGTATAAAAAAATATTCTGGGGGCCTAAAGCTAAGGCTTGACCAGTCTTATACTTGGGTCAATCCTGACCATAAAAAAATATCATTTCTCATTATGTAAATCTAGTTTCACTATAAGCTATTCAAACCAAATTATGATTATTAATGTTAAACATAATTTTATATTCAACCACTATTTTTTATTTTAATTTTTTAATTTCTACCACTACAAAAGTTAAAATAAAATACTATTTTTTTGTTTTTGATTTTAATGGTTATGTACATAAAGTGTAAAGCTTTATACAAACAATTAATAAAAAATTATTATTTATATCTTTGTAAAGCTTTATAAGCATAAGGCTTGACCAACTTTATGTTTGGGTCGATCCTGACCATAAAAAATATTATTTCTCATTATGTAAATCTAGTTACACTATAAGCTATTCAAACTAAATTATGATTATTAATGTTAAACATAATTTTATATTCAACCACCATTTTTTATTTTAATTTTTTAATTTCTACCCCTACAAAGTTAAAATAAAATACTATTCTTTTTGTTTTTGATTTTAATGATTATGTACATAAAGTGTAAAGCTTTATACAGGCAATTAATCAAAAATTATTATTTATATCTTTTAAGATAATAATTATAAAAATTAACAAATTTATTAACTATTTAAAATGATTTATAATTTAAAAATAGTATAACTTTTCTTAACTATAAATATATCATATTAGTGTGTATTACATTTATTTTTGTTGTCCATAATATTATTAAATAATAATAAAATAGATAATGCATTTACGGTGTAAAATAATTTTGCATCATCATTTAATTGGATTTCCATTATGTGACTTTTTGTTTTCTTTTATGTTTGATAAAGGTATAATTCCTTCCTATACAGAGTACAAGCATTAAATCACTTTAACTTACTACATTTTGATTATCCAGTTCCTTTTGAGTAAAATACAATTTAATCCTATCCAATCACAACTATCATTTATGATAAATAGTTGATTTTTTATAATAAATAAATATATAAAAGTCACACTAATATTATTATATAATAATATAAAATTATTTTATATTGTTATTATCGATATATTACCACTGAATTTTTTTTTAAAAAATAAAATTTATGTACAATTTCTTATATATATGATTAACATTATTTTCTAATTAGATTAAAAATTTTATTTTAATAATATGTATAAATGTATATTAACAATATCTGTATTAAATATATTTACATAATAATAAAATAAAACTCAAAATATGATCCAAACAATATCAACTACTCCTAAAAAAATTTGCATAAGTTTTGTTAAGTTTAGGTTTTAAAAATAGAGTTAATCACCTATACATTGTCAGTGTAAAAAAGTTTTACACTGTCAACTAATTATATATTTTAATAATGTTATATTAGTTGTTTATTTAATAAAACAAAAATAAAATAAAAATTTAAAAGATATGATTAGTAGTCGGTGTAAAAAACTTTTCACTAACAATATATGAATGATTAACTCTTAAAAATATATATATTAGATAAGTTTGATTACATAAAACTCATCAAGTACTAACCATGGTTACTATAGAAAAATTATTTTTAATTGTGATTGAGAAAATTAAATAATGCTAATTAATTTTATTAATTATGCAATCAATTTTTGAGTGAGGAGGAATTATATACATAAATGCAAGGTGATTATTAACGTGGAATAAAAGACTTACTTGATGGTGAACTCGGAAACGGTACCGGAGATGATGCGTCCGAAAAAGCCAAATATGCTAGTCAACGACACGAAAAGCGACACATCTGGGTATCCCAGCGCCAACCCGATTTGACCCATATTGTTCATCACCGCCAAACCTGTTCCCACTCCACACAGAAACGACACGAACAAGATCCAAAAATCCACGCTCGAAACCGCCTCCATGATCGTGTGCTCCTCTCCCACCACCGGCGCCCTCTTCTCTATCACCGCCTCCACCTCCCGCCCCTCAAGCAACGGCTCCTTCACTCGCTGCACCTCCACGTCATTCCCCGCCGCTCCGTGCCGTCCCTTCAAAAACGAGTACACTGGAATCCCCAACGGCGAAGCAAGCATAACCACCAAAATCGCCACGAACACTCGAGACAGCAACGCGCTGGGGCTGGGGATGAATCCATACGCCAGCAGATAAAGCGCCATCACAACGGCGACGGCGTTGAAGACGCCGAAGTACTTGAGCTCTTCTTCGGCGTCGTCGTCGTCAGCGGGAGGAACCTCCCGGAGGAAAAAGATTCCGGTGAGGCAAATCGCGAAGGGAAGCACGGAGAGCATGATTAGAAAGGAGGCAGGGTCATCGGCGAAGAGAGCGGAACAGAGATTGGTGAATATAGCAGTGCTCAACCCTACGAAGCCTTTGAGAATGCCCGAAACGGGTCCTCTGTTGCTGCGGAAGTTTCTTATGCAAGTTACCAAAACGGCAGTGTTCATCCACGTCGTGCTGTTGCCTCCCAAGCACAGAAACACGCACATCTGTCGTTTCATATTTCAATCCATTAATAAATACTTTAATTTAAATTATTAGTTATTACTATTATTACGCTATTACCTGCCAGTAGGGGAGGGGCTGAATTCTCTGGCTAACGACGAGCCATTGGCCCCCGTAGCCCACTAGGCCTTCCACGGAGCCTATGAGGAGAATAACCCAAGTGGGGAGGCGGTCGGAGGCGAGGCCCGCGAGAAGCCCAAAGGCTTTGCCAACGTCCTTGGCAACGGAGAGGTTGTTGAGCTGGAGCTGGGTGAGGTGCATGAGGGATTTAAGAGCGT